TCCTTTAGGGCCTGGAATATAATCCTCCTGAGGACTGTGCTCCCTAGGTCTTGCCCACTTTCACCTCAGCCTAGTCACAGCTAACTTTCTGTTTGGTCTGTTCTCTCTTGTAGCAGTTTAGAAAATACCTCAAAGTTAAAGCTCGGGTCCATGTGGAAGCTCATCTCTCATACTTCCTCTTCCTGAACTATCTTAGCCTCTCCTTCTTGCCTGCATTGCTTGTTCTCCAGTGTCTCCACATAGCTGTATTTCATATTTGCCTGGTTTGTGTCTGGAATCAGAGCTGGGGGGGAAGAACCCACAGTTATGCCCAGGGTAGGTTTGGAAGTGACATTAGGGCCATGGGGCTACTATGGCCTGCTGCCCCTGGAGCTTTCTCGTGATAATAATCAAAAGGTATGAGTACACATAAGAACATAGCTCTTGGGTGTCTTATAGATTGATTTTAGTGAATGACAACCAAGTCTTAAGAAATCTGATTATGAGTGAGGGATTTTGCTTTGAGTACTGTGCATTGAAGCAAAAATTGACTGGATGGCATACTTCTCATATATAAAAATTTTTGCCTTGATCGTGGTTTGAGATTTACTCATGAGAGTTTATATTTCTACTTGGAAAAAACCATATGCTCATTAATTTTAAAATAGATTTGATGGTCTGAATGCTATAATTTGTGCTGGAGTTATACATGTAAAATTTTTGTAAAACTCTTAACTGAGCAAATCAATAGTATTGAATATATATGGGTATCAGTTAGACATTGCCAAAATAATGTCACATGTTACAGATTGGGTTCCTGGGGAACAGATTCTGAGATGAGATTTGCATGCTGGAAGTTTATTAGGGAGTACTGTTGGGATCAACACCTGTGGAAGAGAAGGGACGGAGGCAGGATTGAACAGAGGGAGAAGGTAGGCTCTGATACAGTGTGAATGAAGGCCTCACCCTTTACACTCCTGCATCATTGGATGCTGGCTGCCCCAGGAAGAGGGCATGACCTTGGGCAATGAACCTTTCTTAATTTGAGTTCATTCCAAAGAGGAGCAGCGCTGTAGGCTGTTTGCTCACAGCACTTCTAAGCATTGGGTGAATAAGCTCTTAATTCTCAAAAGGGAAAATGCAGTCTCTATTACAATGCCCAGAATTTCATTGGCTTATAAACAACAAACATTAGTTTCTCATGCACCCCTGTACAGATCGTCTAGGATTCTGCTGAACTGAACTGTGCTGATTCGGGTGAGAAGCTGCCGGTTAGGTCCACATCTGGTGCATGTATCTCTCATCCTCTGTTGACAAAAGTCAGTAGCACAAGTCCAAATGCAGAGGCTCATGTCAAGGCTCTGTTATGTCACACATCTTAAGAGCCAGTTGGCCACACAAGTCACATGGCCAGGCCCAACCTCAGCAGAGTGGAAGAATATGCTCCCTTGGAGGTCCAGGAGAGGGAGTGAATTTTTGCCAAACAATAGTCCAGTTTACCAAAGTGTGATTCTGCTTAATGAACAAAAGATAAGAATTCCACTGCCAAGATTTCATTGTCACTCTTTCTCCTAAAATACTTCTGTTTGTCATCTCCATCTGTTTTGAATGAGATGAAATGTGACAACACCTTCACCACTATTTGGCAGAGAGAACAGCTTGTGCTGAGTTCTTATGATTTTCAAAATTTAGATTTGAATGGATTTATGTGTATCTATATCTCTATTGAAAAGATGATATCTTTGCAAAGTATTTATCTGGAGGGAGGATTTTCAGTTTCAAGTTCTTTATCTTATTTTAAATTGAGGTATACATATAATAAAGTGTATTAAGTACACTTAGGTGCACAGCTTATAAATTTTTACATATGTCTACATCCATATAACCACCACCCAGATGTAGATGATGAACAGGGTTCCCTCATGCTTCTTCCCAGTCAATGATCCCCTCTTCTGAGGTAATCATTATTCTGACTTCTCTCATCATAAATTAATTGTTATTTTTCTCAAAATTCATAAAAATGGAATCAGCCAGTATGTTCTCTTATATGTCTAGCTCTTTGAGTTTTTATCTTAACTGATAAACTGTAAGTTGTTGGTTACATTGTCAAACTCCTACGTCTTTTCTTAGCTTATTTCTGTGAGTCTTCACTGGATGTTGTCTCTTTTGTTTTAGAAACTATATTTTGTGTTTTACTTATTAGCTTTTTGTGGTTGGATTAGACTGTACAAAAGTTCGTTCAGAAGAAGCTTCTGTGTATGTCAGAAAGACAGAGTTAATATGGACTGCTAGCAAATAACGTGATCCTCTGGTTTCCTTTGTAAACCTGGCCATTGATTTTTAACAGGATTATTCCTTAGGCATTCCACAGTACCTGTGTCTCATGGGATGTTTATTTTCTACACATACTGATCATTCCTGCACTTTCCCCTGGGCTGTGGTCTAAATGTGTGGGCTATGGAGGCTTCATAGCTGTGGTCAGCCTTAGTCCGACTCACTCTTTCCATTTGATCTGTGACACAATGCAGGAGCTAGTTTTCAAAAGCAAATGCTTACTTCAGTGTTGAGTAACACAAACACACTCTGTAAAGAACAGAACCTTTAAAAACAACCTGATCACTTGGGATTTTGGTTACAGTCACTTACAGAGGCTAGGATATTACTTTGGTACTTATTAGATAATAAGTACCAAAGCCTTATCAGATAGTAGCCCATCGTCATTTTAAAAAGTGCCTATAAGGAAGGCATTTGCATTCATCTAACATGAACAAAAGACTGAAAATCCATTCATGCTTTGAGTGGTTGGTATAATAACAGCTGAGAAAGCTCATTTAATTCTGTGACTTTTGGTTTCAGAGCACCTGTTCAATATAAAAATTACTTGTATCTCCTGAGGAATCTCAGCAGCAGTTAATTTGTATAATTATTGATTTTGAATACTTTTGTTTTTTTAGTTATCCACTGTAAATTTAGGAGTTTTAAAAATAGTTGTTTATGGAAATATATTATTATTTGAAGGGACCCCTCAATGCTGTTGATCTGTTCATTTTTATAGATCAGTTATCTAGAAACAATTGTTTTTTAGTTTCAGGGATGGTGTTAAGAGTGTATAACTGTAACATACAGTTAAAACTGCTGAATCTGTCAAGTGAGAGGTTAGCTCCAGAAGTGGAATTTAGTTGATTCTGAAGTTTGCAGAGCATAAGGGAAGAATCAAGATCAATTCTAATATTTTTGTAACCCCTGCTGCAGAAGGGTGAGAAGAAATTCACTTGAAAGTTGAAGTTATTATTCCATGACTGTGACACATATAGCAAAAGACTACACATGGTCAGTATGGTCTTAGCTGTGATTATAACCAGGAAATTGATAATGAAATCCTTACTTGCTTTTGTTTTGTGGAATCCAATGATTTATTTTAGGGGAGATGTCAGCCCTTGTTAAAGCAGTTAGTTACTGTTCCTAATCATGTCCTAAATTCTGCCTTTAGCTCTGTCAACAAATTCATATTCAGCATCTTTATGTATCACAGTATAAATACATACTTTTAATGTGTATTTTAGCTAATAATTTTTTTCTCTTTAATAGATGTTAGTTGATATTGGAGCTTATTTTATGCTTTTGTACCAGTGGGGAACTGTCCACTGTCCCCTACCAGATATTTTGGGATCACTTATAAGCTAAATTTTTAAGAAACATAGATGTGACTCTATCCTCATTTATGAAATTTTTAATAATTATCAGAAGATACTTTGTGTAAAAGGTGTAAAACTTGGCTTTCACACGTTAGAAAGTTTAAACAGAACTAGTTCTCACTTGGCAAGGATTTGATCACCAACCAAATCTGTACCACACCTATATGCTTATCCAGACACAACTGACTGTCCTGTCCATCAGTCTTCCTGCTACACATACAGATACGCATGCATATTATGAATAGATCTTTTTAAAATAAGCTAGACCCAAGGTACTTCTGAAAAAAGCCACTTATATTATTCTAATCTATCTTTCCTCCTTTCAAATCACTCACCCTTGAAATATATATGAAATCCACACTGGCCCAGGTAGCTGTTCCAAGCAAGCCTGGTCATCTATTCTTGGTCTTACAGAGTTTCAACCAAGTTACTGTTTTTACATGGATATATAATCTTGTTTGTTTTGTTTTGTCTAACATGGATGTGTAATTTTGTCTTCACCATTCTCAGTTTCATTGTTTTTTCTCCATCTCTTGTTCTTAGTATATCATTCTCTTGCTCCAACCTGAGAATATTTTTTCTCACTCTGATACATCCTCTTTCTACATACTTTTCCCTTGTCAAGGAAGGCTGTGCCAACCTTATACAATAGCTGAAGTGACTCTGGCACTTTTAACCAAAAGGATGATGGAACTTTCTGGGTTCGCATTTTAATTGCTGGAGGTCCTAGATCTTCATAGTTAGGTTGCTGTAACAAACAAATGCATTTAAAAAAAAATACAGGGCTTCCCTGGTGGCGCAGTGGTTGAGAATCTGCCTGCTAATGCAGGGGACACGGGTTCGAGTCCTGGTCACATGCCGCAGAGCAACTAGGCCCGTGAACCACAACTACTGAGCCTGCGCGTCTGGAGCCTGTGCTCCGCGACAAGAGAGGCCGTGATAGTGAGAGGCTCGCGCACCGCGATGAAGAGTGGCCCCCGCTTGCCACAACTAGAGAAAGCCCTCGCACAGAAACGAAGACCCAACACAGCAAAAATAAATTAATTAATTAATAAACTCCTACCCCCAACATCTTCTAAAAAAAAAAGAAAAACCTTAAAAGGTACAAATCAACATGTTCTTAAAAGCAATACGTGGTGTTTTAAATAACTGCATAAATCCGTTGTTTAAATTTTTTTCTTAATTGTGTTACTAAAAAAGTAAATACTAAGTATATTGTTGCTAATTAAGTGCATCATGCATTTTAATATTTCTGTTCTTAAATAATCTAGCAAGTTTGCATTTCTGGCTGATCTTTTCTCTCCATTTTCTTTGTTTATTTTTTAGTTTCATGCTATGGATACGTTGTATAGGCACAGCTATGATTTGAGCAGTGCAATTAGTGTCTTAGTACCACTTGGGGGACCTGTTTTATGCAGAGATGAAATGGAAGAATGGTCGGCCTCTGAAGCTAGTTTATTTGAAGAGGCACTGGAAAAATATGGCAAAGACTTCAACGACATACGTCAAGACTTTGTAAGTAGAAAATTGTGAATTAAATAAAAGTTGGGGTGAGAATATTTTATCTGTTTTAAAAATTTGGCAAATCTTAAACTATTCATCTAGCAAGCCTCTGACGTAGTAATTTTCATCTGCTCAATGTAGAATGCAGGCCAGTGTTGTGGAGGGAGAAATTGACATTTGTCTTGAGAAGTAATTGTAAGACCCAGGGTCAGGAATCCCTGAGTTCTTGCTATAAACCTTGGCAATATGAATTAATCTTCTTCACCTCTCTCTGAGTTCCAAGTTAAAAATATGCACAGCTTTTCTAACCATTTGCACTAAATATTTCTGATCTCTGCTTTTTAAGCTTGTTGCTGTCTTTTAGAACTTCGGTATTTTTCTAGTTATCTTACCAATCATTGAGCTGGAATTTGATACAGACCTCTATTATAGAAACGACCTGTATCAAGCAGAGCAGAAGAATTTGCTCTATGGGTTTTTGATCTTTACTCTTCTTGATGATATGCAGGATCTTACTTGCATTTTAAATACTAGGTAATCTTGTCTACTGTTATGTACTTCCTTTGTCTTTATGGAATTGCTGTATTTAATTAACCTTTGAAATGGGGAAATTTCTATTTGAGAAGTTCATAAATAGCTTTCTATAACAGCCATTCTTTTTTTTCAAAAATATTTATTTATTCATTTATTTATTTGGCTGCCTCAGGTCTTAATTGTGGTGCATAGGATCTTAGTTGCGGCGTGTGAGATCTTAGTTGCGGCACGCAGGCTCTCTCTTGCGGTGCACAGGCTTCTCTCTAGTGGCGCACGGGCTTAATAGTTGCAGTGCATGGGCTCTAGAGCATGTGGGCTCAGTGGTTCTGGCACATGGGCTCTCTAGTTGTGGCAAGCGGGCTCTAGAGCACATGGCTTAGTTGTCCCATGGCATGCAGGATCTTAGTTCCGCGACCTGGGATCAGACCAGCATCCCCTGCATTGCAAGGCCGATTCTTAACCACTGGACTACCAGGGAAGTCCCAGCAGCCATTCTTTTTTAAAAATTATGAAAATAGACTCATTATAGCCTATGAAGTATTTAATGTGAGCAAGGATCCTGCCTTTTATGTTGTTGCATCTTTTTAAAATTATTTCTGAAGGAAAATTTTACTTATCTATATGAGTTGATATACTAAATCCTAAACATGATAATTAAAGCTGTTAGTGTCACTGGCATTTGTTTTGGCAAAACTTTACTGACACCCAGATTGTTATATGTCATGGTTTCAATTTACAGGGTGTGCAGCTGGGAATTTAAAATGCATTGGTGGCATTTAGCTTCAGGTGGTCAGAATAACACAGCAGTGCAATGCTACTAATATAATATAGCTACACCACTAAATAGAAACCGCAAAAACAAAGCCCCCTAAAGAACAAAGGCTGCAGGCCTGATAAAAGAGTAGAAGATGAGAAATACTAAAGTGAAACTAGTTTTCCCTGCACTGAGTGTGACATGCTCATTTTATGTCCTGATCATCATTCTGAACTCAGTTCAATTCAACAAATGTTTATTAAGCACCTGCAACATACCAGGCCCTTAAGTGTGCACTAGACATGCATCAGAAATGTAATGTGGTCCGTCCTTTAGGGAATGATTCATAGTGAAAATCAAGAGATTGAAAGATAAGCCCTCAAATAAAATATAATGTAATTACTTCTGTCAGTAGTAAGAACGAGTGTTATGGAAGTAGTGGGAAGGGAACTATTAGTTGTGCCAGTCAACTCAGGAGTGTCTTCACGGAGTTAACTGGCATTTCATCTGGACCTCTGATGGTAACGGGAGAGAACAGCAGATTGACGGGTATACACTGAGCTGTGAAACTTTTAGACAGCCTTCCTGGGCACTTAATACAGGACTAGGAAATAACTCTGAACAGTAGCTTGGTGCAATATACTTGGACATAGAGAGGCTGGCATTCATAGAAGGTAAAATAACGGTGTGAAAACGAGTATAACAGCAATAATGCTGTTAAATGGCTTTTTGTTACCTTCATGATCTAACAAAATTCTTGTAAATTTGTGACATGATAAAGTTTTTCTGAAGGTGGTTAGAACGCTTGTTGATGAGCCAGTCCACATTAGGTTTGTTGTATTTTGGAGCTTGGTGTTGGCCGCCAGTGTCAAAAAGCTTAGATAGACCATCAGGAGGCTGACACTTCAGAGGGTTTGTGTTTTGTGTAGTTTTGGGTGTTTGTTAGTTTTTTTAGATCCTTAGGCTTTGTTTTGTTTGTTTGTTTATTTTTATTGAAATATAGTTGATTTACAGTGTTAATTTCTGCTGTACAACGAAGTGATTCAGTCATACATACATATATACATATATATATATACATACATTTTTAAAAATATTATTTTCCATTATGGTTTATCACAGAATATTGAATATGGTTCCCTGTACTATACAGTAGGACCTTGTTTATCCATTCTATATATAATAGTTTGCATTTGTTAACCCCATTTTGGTGTTTTTAACTTATTATCTCTCCCTTCCACCACCCTATACTTGTAAAGTAATGTATAAACCTGAAGGCCATATTTGACAAGCCTACAGCTAACATCATCCTCATCGGTGAAAAGCAGGTACATGAAAAGGTGTTCAAGGGACTTCCCTGGTGGTCCAGTGTTAAGACTCCTTGCTTCCAGTGCAGGGGGTGTGGGTTTGATCCCTGGTCAGGGAACTAAGGTCCTGTATGCTGTGTGATGTGGTCAAAACAAACAAACAAGAAAGGTGTTCAACATCACTAATCATCAGGGAAAACCACCATGAGATATTGCCTCATACCTCTTAGGATGGCTATTATTTTTTTAAAAATGAGAGATAATAGACGTTGGTGAGGATGCGGAGAAGCATTGTCATTAATTCTTCTTTAAATGTTTGGTGAAGTCATCTTGTCCTGGGCTTTTCTTTGTTGGAAGGTTTTTGATTACTGATTCAGTCTTCTGTTCACATTTTCTATTTCTTCATGATTCAGTCTGGATAGGTTTTATATTTCTAGGAATTTATCCATTTTTTCTAGATTATCCAGTTTGTTGGCATGTAATTGTTCATAGCAGTCTCTTAGGATCCTTTTATATTTCTGCGATACCATTTGTAATGTCTCTTCTTTCACTTCTGATTTTATTTATTTCAGTCTTCTCTCTTTTTTCTTAGTATAGCCAGTGGTTTGTCAATTTTGTTTATCTTTTCAAAAAACCGGCTCTTAGTCTATAGATCTTTTCTGTTGTTTTCCTTGTTTCTACTTCATTTATTTCTGCTGTGATCTTCTTTTTCTGCCAATTGGAATCACTCTCTTTTCAGTCTTTGTTTATCCTTTCCTCCTCTGACTGGATAATGTCTAATGACCTGTCTTTGAGTTCACAGATTTTTCTGCTTGATCAAGTCTGCTGTTGATGATCTGCATTGTATTTTTCATTTAATTCATTGTATTCTTCAGCTTTAGAATTTGTTCGGGTTTTCTAAAATGATTTCTCTCTGTTGAACTTCTTGTTTTGTTTGTATATTGTTTTCCTAATTTCATTGAGTTTTCTATCTGCATTTTCTTGTAGCTCACTCAACTTTGTTAAAACAATTATTCTGAATTCTTTGTCTGGGAAATCCTAGATCTCTATTTCTGTGGTACCAGTTCCTGGAAAATTACTGTGTTCCTTTGCGGGTGTCATGTTTCTTTAATTTTTCATGTTTCTCATAACCTCATGTTAATCTCTGTGCATTTGACTGAGCAGACATTACAGACTGGTCTTAGTGGGGAAAGACCTTCACCTGCAGGTGGGTGCAAGGGTACCAGGCAAGTGGGGCGCATTGGTTCTAGCTCCTGGGAAGGCCCATTGGCATAGTGCGTATTCAGCTCTATCAGCTGAGGTCAGTGTCAGTAAAGATTGCAACGGCCAAGGGTGCAGGTGTCTGCTGCAACAGAGAGGGCTGCTGGGGTCTTCAATGGCAAAGGCTGCTGGGGACCTCCTGATCTCTTTCTCCCACAGCATATGTCATCGGCGAGGGGATGTCTCTTGGCTCTGGGTCTGGCTTGGAGTGCCCTCATGGTGGCAGTGGTGCCTGAGGTGTGGGCATGCTTGGGTCAGCCCCTGAGCCGGGAGTGGAGTGTGTGTGCTCACAGAGTGACTGAAGCATATGATCTGGTGCCTGTGAAGTGAGTGCATGTCGAGCAGCCAGGGCTCTGGGGTCTGGGGTGTGCACATCTTCTGGAAGGAGCACAGCAGCGTCTCCTTCTCTAGGAGGCCAGCAGCAGCAGTGGCTCTTGATTACCTCGGCGGCAGGAGCTGCTGGTTTCTTCTGCACAGGGGCCTGCTGGGGTCCACTCCAACAAGCATTACAGAGTCCTCTACTGTACGAGCTGTAGGGATTCCTCAGCAGCTGTCTTGGGTGCTGCTGAGGTCCTCATTGACCAGGGCTGCCAGGCTTCTCTGCAGAGCAGGCCACTGGTGACTGCAGTGGTATCCAGTGTGTGGCTTATACTGATAGCCTCCACCCTTCGTTGTTCTTAGCAGTTTCCAGATGTCTCAGCTAAAGTCCATCTCCTCAGTGATCCTCTCTGTGCACTCTCTGTGCAGTTTTTCTCCATTCTTTGCTGCACTGTGTTGCTGTAGGTTCTTCTTTGACTCTTGCATCTTCCCGGGGCAATTTTCATTTGTTGATAGCTATCTAATTATCATTTTTTGTGGGGTTACAAAGGCTGGTATGTCCTCCTCTTGCTGGCGTATCTCTTCCTGTCCATTTTGTCTTGTTTGTTGTCATAAAGTTGTTCATAATCTCATTATACTTTTAAGTTCTGTGGGATGGATTTGTAGTGATATCCCCTCAGATATTCCTGATACTGGTAATTTAGCTTTTCTTTTTTCCTCATTAGTCTGCCTAAGGGTTTATCAATTTTATTGACCTTTGCAAAGAACCAGTTTTTAAAAAAATAACTAATTAATTAATTTTTGGCTGCATTGGGTCTTCGTTGCTACGCGTGGGCTTT